GGGGGGGCTGCCGGGGGGTAAACTTTGCACGGCGTACTATTGATCCCACTTACATCAGTGCCGCACACGCACGACACCGACACCCCCTTGTTCCGGATGATAAAATACCTAGTGCGAGGGCCGAGCGCTTCACAAATGACTGGTAACAAGTGAGAAGGGCGTAAGTCCTATGGGAAGTCCATGGACTTACGCCTTTTTCACTTTTCACCAGTGAAAAATGTCCAAAGTTACTCCACATTATCCATCGTCATGTTTTTTTCTAGTCTCGGCGTTCGTTCCGGAGGGGAGGGCGCAGGGGCGCCCCTTGTCTGTACGACACGGACGGTGTCGCACTGGTTTTCTCCTCGTTTGTAACGCATCCCGATGCATGGCGTGTCCGCGGCGGGCAGCAGGGCCGTTTGCTGCACGCCACGCTCACCATTAGGGCGGGGCGCATGCAGGGTGCTCTCTCTCTCTCTGTTTCTCTCTCTGTCTCTCTCTGTCTCTCCGATGCACATGCGAGAGCGAGCGAGACGGAAGGCGAAGGCGAGGCGGTCGCGTATGACTGTGGGATCCTGATTGGGGTGCCCCGCTCCTGCGTGTTTACTCATCACGAGAACAACAGTGTGCGTCTCGCGTGAACTCCGCGCGCCCCGCCCCCGACAGAGAAACCCTTGTAGGGAGAGCATGCTCCGCACAGCAGGGCAAGGGCCCTCTTTTGGCGACGGCGCCCGTCCCCGGGCCCCGGGCCCCGCGAGTCTGCTTTGTCAGCAAACAGTGCCAAAGGCAGCCAAAGGCGGGGATGCTCCCGCGGCGCTGCTCTCGAACAGAAGACCCGCTAATGACGAGCAGCGACCGGCGCTGACGGGCAGCAGCAGGGCCCCAGCGAGTACATCAGCCAGGCTGCCGATGCGCTGATCACAGGCGGCGCCAGCGGCCGCTGCTGCGTGTCGCACGCAGGGCGCCAATAAGAAGAAGAAGAATTCAAAAATTAATAATAACCGGATCAAGTGAAACAGGTTCCTCGTTGACCCGGCACAAAAGGCGCGCAGGGGCGTTGCTCGTTCCCCGGAAGACATACTACACTCTCGTTGCGCGCTTGCCGTGTCGTGACCCCCATCTAATAATCAGCTCTTTGTGAGCAGAGAGGCTCGAGGGGGGAGGGGGGGGGGATAGCCACTTCGGGGACGTGAGAAAATGCCTCAGTGACTCATCACTGCTGTGGCGCCGCGGCCGGCGCATCGGTAGCCGCTTGACTAAGTGGCCGTCCTCACGCCTACTGCACGATTTGGGGAGGGGCGGGCGGCCCCAGCAGCTGCAGCGGCCGAGGGGAAGGACCAACCGAACTTCGCTCTCTCGCGACGACGTTGCTCGTTGAAATTTGGGTTTCGGCCAGTTCGGCCTTCCGGCCCTCCTAATTTGGGTTTTGGTTGTAATTTCTCTGTCTCTCTGTCCCTATCGCACCACTGGTCTTCGTATGAGACGACAAGGGGAGTCCTCGCCCCTCGCCTCGAAGTGGGCCTCTGCCTGTTTGAATTTCCCCGCGAAGCGACGAGTGAAATTTCTCATACCGCTGGCTTCCTCCCCACAGTGCCACCACTCACCAATCCTCCTGTGTGCGGCAGGCGGCAGTCGACGGTTAACCCAACTCACATGGCGCTGTTTACTGCTTGTTTGTTTTGAATGAATCAAGGCAAGAAAATCTCCTTCGCATGCATTCTTTATTTTGCGGATAATGATGACCGTGTTTTACTGGGTTCTTTACCGCATTTTGTTTCTGTTGACAGACTGTCAAAGTTAAGTTTCGCAAAATGGGACACTACTTGCGGTGCGGACTACAATGTCGCCTTCCGAAGTTTATTTTCGAATCAAGTAAAAGTGAACTTCTTAGGTGTAGAAACCCATTTCTAAGAGTACTTGTTAACAATAGTTCCAGTCAGAAGGATTTCCACTCAGAGAACTCACCCGTAACATCAATAAAAACTGATGAAAATCTTCCTCCTGACTACTCCAAATTTCAGGACGAGAGGAAAATATCTTTGCCAAAGTAAGACATACTTTTTATTTTCCTTGCCTACGCTGTGTTTTGAATTTGGGGGAAGAACATCATTCCTACCGCTCTGGTTTTGCCAGAAGTTGAGTCTTCTTATTATATTTGTCATTGTGTTTCAGGTCCACTGTTATTGCAGAGGATTACTCAACAATCCCTCAAGATGATCCAGATAATTTTGGGACACTTACTAAATCTAACAATGACATCCTAAGTGTCCAAGAAGGCTCTGAAGAGGACAAAGCAGAAGACAAGTTTATTTCTGAGCTACCTAACTATTACCCCCAGAAGACTTATGCCAATATGATTAAAAAATATTTACGCCAAAGACGGGTAAGCAGGCATTTTTTCTAATTCTGAACTCCCAACTCAAGACTTTTGCACTTTTCAAAATGTGAATATCAGTGAAATATGGGTGACGATTGATTTTCAACTTTTTTAACAGTTCCAAGATGCCGTGGATGTTCTTATGGTAACAATGTTAAAGGAACACAGAGTAAAACCGGAATATTACATCTATTCTATTCTCATATCGTACTGTGGTCTGACAGGCTATTCCAAAATGGCATTCAAATTGTACAATGATGTAAGTCTATTTTCAAAGATATTTTCCCCAAATGTTTATGTTTACATCTAATGAATGGAAGGTAATTAATTTTTAAAATTTTAGATGAAAAGAAGAGGATTGCCTGTTAAAGATAGTGTTTACACATCTCTATTTAATTCATATGCAAATAGTCCATATCCATCTGATGGACTTCAGCGAACTAGACATCTTTTCACTCTCCTGACGGAGAAAGGTATTAACATAAATCAAATTACTTGCCATGCAATCTTAAAAGGTCAGTGAAAATAATTTTTGTCTACAATTTTAGATTTCATCTTAATTTTTAAAGTGAAATGAATTAAATTAATCATAATTTAATCTATACCTATTAGCCTTTGCAAGATGCGGATCAATTGAGGAAGCTTTTAAACTTGTTGACTACATGATGAGCAAAAAGATGACTATCAACAAAGAGACAATGAGCTTTCTCTTCCAAGCTTGTATTTCTGATAAAGATGCTGGCTTCCGGCATGCCCTGCTGGTCTACAGGAAAATGATGCAGTACCGTATGAAACCAGATGTTTTTCAATTCAACCTTTTGTTACGTTGTGTCAGGGATTGTGGACTGGGAGATATTGTTTCCACTATCGATGTATTTCAAAGATTGGGTGTTGAAAATGTGGATAAGCTTAACACATTACAGGTAGGAGAGAAAAGAAAACAATGGCACTTAATATATTACTAATCTCAAAAATTTGGCTACATTCAGATATGATCCTAACTCAAAATTATTTCACAGGGCGGTGAAACATTAAGTGATGGATACCCATGGGAGGAAGATCCGGAATTTTGTGCAATGAATGTTGCTGGATCCAAGACAAATTCAGAACTACAAAATGTATGTTAAAATTTTTCATTCAATTGTTGCATTTATCCTGTTTTGTGCCATTCTTTTTTTTTTTTAGATCTAACTTTTCCTTCTATTTTTAGAAGACATCTGATTTGCCTGAAATCTCTTCTCCTAAAGAACTGCTACCGGATCTCTTGTCTCAGAAACCCACTCTTGGTTGTGTAGTTAGTTTAATGCAGATTGAAAAACCACAAGACAGGTACATATTTTAGTAACAAGTAGTACTTGTTTTACCTTTTTGATTTCTTACTCAATGTATAATATAGTATCATTACTCTGTCAATGTTTTTATAGACTATTCCTCCTTGGTGGTGTTGAGAGATTTATGAGAGAAATGGACTTACATGAAGCCAAGCCAGATATTAAAACATTTAATCTTATGTTAGAATGTATTCCTCAAACAGTGGTAGCAGAGCAGGTTTGTTCCCTGTAGTATATTGGCTTTTGTTTAAGTGTGATTTGTGATCTGTTTATCTCTTAACTTGTCTCTTTGATAGACTCTTCTTAAATTAATCACCAAAGGAGGATTGAAAGTTGATCTTCTTTTTTTCAATACTCTAATAAGGCGCAGAGTTTATAGGCGACAGTATGATGAAGCTAAGGTTTGTTTGCCATCTTTTATTATATTTATTTGATTATAAGGTGCACCCCACATTTTACTGGGAACCAGAGGAAAGGCTCCAATAAGACCCCTACAAATCAACTACTTGATTTTTAACCGCAACTTGACTTTAGAATAGAATAGAACAGTCTTTAATTCATCCAAATTTACAACAATGCACAAGGAGTAAAAAGTCAAAAGTCACAAATGATCAAACAGTAAGCATTAAGCAGAAGGTCAAGTGCCAGTAGAATGTCTTGAAATATCAGGAAAACTTTCAGGTTTCAAAACTGGAGAAGGGGTATGGTTTTTAATCTTCTAATTTATCTTATCTATTGCTACTCTTTAGGATGTTTTACCTCTGATAGCATCTCATGGCTTCCAGCCAGATTTAATGACCTACACGAATTTAGCAATGACCTGTAGGCAAAAAAAAGATGCTTATGAGTTGCTGAAAGCCATGGATCAAACTGGTGTACGGTAAGGCTCCTTAGAAAGTTGAAATCCTAGATCATCTTATAATCTGCTTTCTGTTAACTGATTTTGTATTTTATTTTAAATGTGGATTTCAGACCTGGTGTAGAATTTATCACTGCCATGTTCGGTTGTGCTACTAGTACATACAACATGAGCTATATAAATTTGGTACTTGATGTCATTGATTATGAAGAGATCAAAGTAAATAAATACTTCATCAAGAAAGCTGAAGATTTTTATGAGAAATGTTTGAGAGTACTGAAGGTTTGTCTCAACCATAAAGATATTAATGTTGTGTTAAATTTCTTTTTGTTTTCTACTTATGTTTGTATATTTCATGTTTTAGGCAAGACCCGAAAAGTTCCGGCCTGAAACACTTGTTGCTATTAACAATTTTTGTAGTAAATATCCAGAATGGAAGAAACATGTTGAAGTAGAGAAAGATGAACATCCATGGCAGCACCTTAGGGATAAACATCCTCCAGATTCCAAAACTGATGAAGAATTTTTTAGTGAGCATGTTGAAAATTATACTCCGTATGAGCGTACATTCTCTCGCTTAGGGCCAACTACATCGCCAAAAGTCCGTCTAGAAAAGTTAAAGAAGTTGAAGCAGGAAGATCCAGGAAGATTTAAGAAAAAATGGAGAAAGAAATCAAGTATAGATCAGCTTGAAGGTATTCCTTGTATTACATACCAAAAAATCCAGCCAAAATAGTCTGGTAAATAATATGTTGATATGAAGTTTTTGTTTGAAGGAGATTTGATTAATAGCAAATAAAATTTATATGAAATAACCAGAAAACTTTTTAAGTATTAAAGGATAAGTAAATAATTTCAGGTTTATGTTGTATAAGGTGGTTTTAATCATGATAAAGCTTTTAACAAATACATGTACACAGTTACACCTGGGTGTTGTGAAGTTTTCTGTTTAACTCTTCAAATTTCATGACCTTACGGATGAAAAAGTCACCATAGCGGTGAGCAACTTTAGTATCAGCAATGTGAATCATCTCATTATCAATGTAGAAGTCAAGCTGAAAATTTTAAGGAATTTCAGTGAGCGGTGGGGCTTGAGAGGTACTAAACACAATAAGAAAGCATTCATCTTACCTCAGAACCTGACTGGAACTTGCCATCCAAACCTGAAGCTCCTTTAGTCCACACTACATTCTTCATCTTGTGCTTGAAGCAGAGTAAATGGATACCCAGAGCAAGCATCTCTTTGTTTAAGTCCCACTTTGAGCTGTCACCAGAGCTTTTACCTTGGCTCATAAATGTGGCCAATTTTGAAAGTGGCAGAGTGGTGTACAGTTTGAGGTAACTGAAAATTAAAATTGAATTAATAACAATTGAATACTATTCTTTTTGATATGTGTACAAATGAAATGCATACCTTCTAATTGTGGGAAGCATTTTCTGTTGCTTGACTTCATCCATGAAGACTTGAGTTTGATGCTTCATGGCATCTTTCATATAATCATCTGGAGGAGCATCAGCAGGGGGAGGTGAAGGTAGCAAAAACTTTGGGCAAGCAAAGACAAAGCACTGTTCAAACTCCTGTAAATCTCCATACTGCATCTTATACATCTTTTCTGTGTAGTTCTTTTCTCTTAGCACTTGCTGAATGGATTCATCTACACACTGAGGGTGTAGCACAAGGCAAATGGCCAAAAGGTGGTACATCTGATCAGTCTGCTTGTTAATCTGGGGAAAAAAATGAAAAGTATTTGGATAAGTCAGATTCAATCAATAAAGCTTGGCCAAAATTAAGTTCAGATTTAACAGTTTAAATATTCGCACAGACCTGATCATTCTGATATGTCCTTGTGGCAAAGAGTTGTTTGGTTCTCTGAATATACAGCAGAATAGAGCTGAAGGTACGAATTGCATCTGCATAACGGCGCATCATCATATAGGCAAACCCAACGTAGTATGACATCGAGATCTGGCATGCAGGTACTTGAGAATATTGATTCTGAAAATTGAAATTGGAAACTTTAGTAAATATCTCACTTATATAAAAACCCATCAGATAAACCCATCATCAAAAGTTAAAATAAGCTGACCTTCTTGTTCAATTCTATGTTTTCCAGAACTTTAATAGCTTGGTAGTAATCACCAAGGAGAGAATGGAGGCGCAAGAGACCCACCAAACTGTAGTATCCCAACATTTTGTACAGAGAGTGGGAACCAAACTTTCCTGCAACTGAGTCTGGGTCACCTCCGCTGGCATACACCTAAATGACAATTAATGTAACAAACAGAATAATCTTCATATGTAATTCACACTTTCGCTTCAAGAACATTACACATACCTCCAACTGCATTTTAATGTTGCTTTTATCCACCAAGGAGTGCAAGACGTTCAGGACACACAACACATTCCACACTTTGTTGTGCTGATTCACCACTTCCAGATCTTCATTTGGGATTTTATTGAGCCTTGCCCTGTACTGAGAGTAGGACTGGAATTGGTACACAAATTCATCCACCAGTTCCCACAGCCATTGATCAGGCAGCTCAAGTGGTACAGGCTCATCAGCACCTAGTCAGAAATATTAAGAAGGTTAAAATAAAATGATTTTATCATTTTTGGTGCATCTTTCAGCATAGATTAGATTCACTTACTCAGTATATAGTTAAACAAATTGCAGTAGTTGTAAAATGATCCTAATCTCTGTTCTATGTTGGGACTTCCTTGGGCGTAAATGTGTCTGAAGTAAAGCTCTTGATACAGAATCAAGAAAACCTGTAGATTAAAAAAATGAAATTATTGATAAGTACAATACTATTATCCTAACTTAAGAAAGTTCTTTAATCACCCAAACTGTGTTTTTTTCTTTCTCTCTTTTATTTGCTAAACACCAATACTACTCACACTATCTGCTTCCACAAAATCTGAAATGTCCTTGGGTGCTGGCCAGGAACTGTTATTGAAATACTGCTCAGTGAGTTTGGGGAACCTGTAAGAAAAAATTTAATGATTAAGCCTTGATACCACAGATAAAATTATTGAAAGTTGAAGTTTAAGAAACAACTTACGTATTTTCATAGAGGTTTTGAATTTCGAACACAAGACCATCGTTGATAACATTTCTGAAGTATACTAAGAACTTCTTCACAACATCTGGCACTTTGCACATTTGTTCATATTTCAAGTCTGCATTAGGATCCCCAGTGTGAGGTTCGTAATCTCCGTACCTTCCATAATTATTATCATAGTTGTCCTAAAAGAAGGAAACATAATTCCAATCATAAAAATTATGGTCAAGTTAAACATTATTTGTCTATCCAGGAAAAGTGACGAAAATAAATCTATGTGAAAGTATGACATCTTGACAGTGATCTGATTGAACCAGTACACGAAGGGAAGAATACACTCCGATATTAGAGACATGAACTAACGCAAAGTTATCTAACGACCTTGCGATAGGAATAACAGAGACAAACACTTGGGAAACGACGAAGGAAACTTCAAAACAACATGAAATATGGTAGAGAAAGTCATGAACTGCATAGGAATGAGGTTAAGTTTGTAAATTACTATCGGTTTTGACGGTAATAACCCAGTCTGCTTACCTCTCCGTAGTCTTCATACATTTTGAGGGCTTTGTTTTACTTTTAATTCGCAGGTGTTAAGGTTGTTGAATCAAGTTCCTCGACTTAAAAATTACAAAATAATCACTGCACGCGTCAATGGTGCAGCAACTTAACCTGCACCGGCAGACAGAAGGCAGGACAAGAAGAAAGAAGGCGGTGAAGGGAAAACCGCCCTGTAGAAAACTTGACCAAAAAAAAGGTTAAACGGCCTCTGTCTGTAAATAAAAGGCAGCGTGCGATTTACGCGCGAAGTACCTCACAAATGATCAAATTCCCGCTCAAAACTCATTGTCCTCTGTGAAGTCTTGGCTGTTCGCCTGCCATTGTGTTGTACGTCCTCCTTGCTGACGGTCGCCTCTTCAGAAATCTTTCGGATTTCAAGTTCAGCCGTCTATATCAAGTTGCTGTAGTTTTTCTTCGCTTTTGTCCTAGTCTGAAAAACTACCAGCCAAAATGTTTGAAGCACGTTTGGTTCAGAGTGTGATCCTCAAGAAAGTTCTTGATGCCATCAAGGACCTTCTCAATGAGGCTACTTTTGATTGCTCGGACTCGGGTATCAAACTTCAGGCTATGGACAACTCTCACGTCAGCTTGGTTTCACTCAGCCTGCGGGCTGATGGTTTTGACAAATACCGATGTGACCGCAACCTCTCAATGGGCATGAACTTGGCCAGGTATGTACTTCCTACCACAGGCTACGTGGCCGCGAACTGGTGCAGTGTTCTGCCACCTTTCTCTTTCTTGTCGTCTGACTTTAACTACCTTACTCAATGTTGTGCAATCAGTCTTGTCGTGTTGCGTACAACTTGTTGTTTACCAAGTAATCAGTTAGCTTTCGAAACAACACGTTCAAGTCACGTTTCCATGAATTCTTTGTCAATCGTATGATCTCTGGTGACTTTCCGTCCAGAATGTATGTGAATTCCACCTTTTCTTACAGCATGACCAAAATTATGAAGTGCGCTGGTGCGGAAGATGTTCTTACCATGAAAGCGCAAGACAACGCTGACACCGTGACATTCATGTTTGAATCCCAAAACCAAGAGAAAGTATCAGACTATGAAATGAAATTGATGAACCTGGATCAAGAACACCTTGGCATTCCAGTAAGTTAATGTCTCGCTGTCCTATGTGTTAAAGTACGGAACTGCTTTTATTAACATACATTATATATTTTTTGTTTTCTCTAGGATACTGACTATTCATGTGTTGTTAAAATGCCATCTGGTGAATTTGCCCGAATCTGCAGAGATCTTAGTCAGTTTGGAGAATCTGTTGTGATTGCATGCTCTAAGGAAGGTGTCAAGTTCTCTGCTGTTGGAGACATTGGATCAGGTACAAACATCTACTTTCTCGTTATAACTCAAATCAAACTACGAGGATCTATCACTAATTACTTTCTTTGTGCAGCCAACATCAAATTGGCTCAGACTGCAAATGTGGACAAGGAGGAGGAAGCTGTTACCATCGAAATGCAGGAGCCTGTAACTTTAACTTTTGCCTGCAGATACCTTAATTCATTTACCAAAGCCACGCCTCTTTCTGGCCAGGTTGGTATTTTCTTGTTTTTAAATTATTAATAGGATCTGTCGCATTATAACTTCTTAGTTTCCGTAAACTTTTGTTGCTAATGTGCTGATGAAATTGCGTTGTTTTAGGTTCAGCTTTCAATGTCAGCAGATGTTCCATTAGTGGTAGAATACAAGATAGGTGAAGTTGGACACATTAGATATTATCTTGCCCCCAAGATTGAAGATGAAGAAAGCCACTGATTTTTTAAAAACATGTATGTATTGTAATTTTCAACCATTTCTCAGTCATTACTGTCTGTCATTCTCATTCAACACCCATGCCTA